AACCAATCCCCACATATACATAAAAAAAACTCACAGCTTGTGACATGACAAATTAACCTAAAACAATATGCATCTCAAATAAAGTGAGCAATCAACCCCCTAAAATAATAATCCGCAATGCTTAATTTTTGTCTAAAAGAATTTCAATTTTCCTTTAGCCACCGAACCTTTCGTCATCCGCAAATGGCAGGTCGCCTTTTGGGCTCCCACCAAGCCCGAACAATCATCACCAGCTCCAAGAGTCACGGCGAAGTAGAGATAAATAGTGCAAAGGAATGCAAGGAGGACAAGAGCCGTAAGAAGAAACCGATGTCTCTGAACAAGAGTCGAACAACTTCCAAACTCTTCATTTCTTGAGTGCTGCCTTTTCAGTGAAATTTGCTGAGAAAATGCGGTCTGTGTCTGAGACCTCCGGTGGGGTGAGGTTATAATGTTGTCCAGAGCCATAATTAAATGATTTTGGTGAAATGAACAGTGAAATCCCTGCAATAGTTCACAGTTATTGAAGCTGAAATATCAGGAAGCAGATTTTCGAAAGGCTGACAATTATTCAAGGGATGGTTATAAACATTAGACCCTGATTTTATTCACATAACAATAATCCCATTAATAGATCGAATTGCAAAAGAGAAACAAATGTCAAGATGGTATTGCGATATTCAAAATCACAAAGTTCTGCCTATGCATTACAGACAACAGAGAACCAAGAAAGATGGCCTCCAAGGGGAAAAACGTCATCTTCGAGACATGAAGAATAACAAAATTATTTTCAAATGACCTCTTCAAACTTCTAAGAGATCATTTTAACTAAATATGACATGACACATTACTTGCTTGGATTCGAAATCCATGAATTATATAATCAATGTTTAAAGCAAGTCAAAGCACCGACGATAGACTAAACACATCTTATTTTACCACCAAGTTCAAACTTCCTTCGGATAATGAAAGTCGAGAGACAACGTACCATAACTTTAAATCTTAATAAAATGGTGAGATATCTCAATGCACCATAGAGCAAATCCTAAATTCACAAGGTTTTTAAGCAGGAGGATAAGCAACAACAGTTTCAGAAGAAGCAAGGCCATAAGTTGAAAACAGATGTTCAAACATCTACAAACTTAAGATCGTGAATGACATATCCATATGGTCCAGAAAGCATTCATCTTTTCGAATATTACAGCTTCTGAATGTGGATTGAATCGCACGATGTGCGAAACGCTATAAGGGTAGCTCAAGGACATCCACAGCCACACCATTTGTAAGCACGAAACAAGAAGCCCTCAATCTAAGCACAGTTTCTTTACCAAACACAATTTTACATTTTACTTTTGTTCCTTCAGAGAAACCCAATTCAGAATTCCTTCATCCCCCTCTGTCGTCTTGCATTCACTCTCAAGAGATCAAGTCAAGATACAGCTGAAAAGCTAATAAAATTCGTAACAAAATAGGGGAAAATCCAACTCTTGAAACCACGCATTCTCAAATTCCCAATCACGTCTTTCCAAAAGCATACAATCACCCGCACCAATATGATTTTAATATTTTCAGATCCCAATTCACCGTAAAAATGATGCACAGAAAAACACAGTCGACTCGCAGGTGCACATATAGTGTGTGTGTGTGTGTGTGTGTGTGAGAGAGAGAGAGAGAGAGAGAGAGAGAGAGAATTCAGCAGATCTGCAACACACATGAAATAAAATCGGAGGCAGGAACTTACAGATGAAGAAGATAAGGAGGAGAAAAAAAACCACGCAAAGATTATACGGTCATCGCTTCAGAACCAAGTGATCGTTTAGCTGCTCTCTCTTGACCAATAGTTCAACAAATTTGGCACTTTATAATTCATGGAGTCCAAATATAAAACTTTTAATTTATGATTTTTTTTTTCGACGCGTTTTAACGAAAATTCGGTGGCAGGGAGGGACGGGACACGCACTTTCCGAGTATGGGAATCGAGAGTTTGAAATGGTCCGGGACGAGTGTGTAGTTAAATACTTTTTTTTTTAGGGAATTTTATATATCAAAATGTATAAATTTGCGAAAAAGTACAACTCTTACCAAAAATACAACTAAAAGCTAATGAACTAAGAGGACATGTCAGAAGACCGTCTAAATCCGACACTAGCAACGATAGAAACCAAAACTCTTGACACGACAAGCAAACATAAACAATTAAAAAACTACTACAAAACTTATAATAGGAGAATAAATAGAAAAAGATCTTAAATGAATAATACCCGCTCACACTCGGAAACACAAGGGTCAATGACTCAAACAAAAAGCACGAGACCTAACAATACAAAACAAACAAACAACACACCTAAAACAAAACAGAAACACCTACACTAGAGCCCTCCTCCACAACAGGAAAAAGTTCCACACAACCCTACTACCGCAACCGAGAGCTCCCACCCAAAGGGAAAGCAGTCCGAGCCAAGCACCGAGACCTGAAACTGCCGAAAATGCCTGTCACCCACGAACCAGTCAACGGAGGTAAGCCTTCACACACCATCCCTCCAACCGGTAGCACAAAGACGACCGTCAACCAAAGCCATCAACCATCACCATCTGCATAGCTAGAGGCGGATCTACATGTGTGTTGGGGGAGGCCATTGTCCCCCCACCACAACATTTTTGTTTTTTTCCTATTAAGTATATGTAAAACAATATTTTTTTTTATTCATCCTATTTTTAAATAAATAAATTTAAACTTTGATAATCAAATATTACCTAAAAATAGGGAATTTAAAAGAAGAGTATTGGTAGAATAATCTGCAAGACTCTATCCTAACTCATTTGTACCCGTCCATGTACTAATTATTATTATTATAAATAATAATTAGATATGTAAGTCTTCTATAAATATGTTTGTATAGCTTAGTACGCTACCAGGAGTAAACTTAATATGCAAAGCACTTAAAATATTCAAGTTAATGTGGTGGAAAGATATGATATATATGCTTATAGGAAATCTGAATATGAGTTTTTCTTTTATTATTTTTTTTATTGTATTTTTATTTTGTATAAGTTTGAGTCAACTATTAATATGTTCCATAACTTGAGAAAATTAAACAACTCTAATTGCTGACAAAGTTTGGAAGTATATATTTTTTTCTATTATATTAAATGGCTGATTTTCTGAAAATTATATTGTTCACCGCCTCCTCCAATAAATTTTTCTGGATCCACCCTTGTAGCTCGACTCCCAGCCACCGGAACACCCAAACACGCCCTCCACACTGTCCATCCTCGGCTAACACCACTAGTTAGAAGACGGAACACCAGTCCGCCTCTGCCCCAACCTTAGAGCACAGAGGAAAAAAGGGCAAGAATCACACCACGAGTAGCCATCGCGAATACACAGCGAACCGCCCGAGCATTCCCCGCCCCTGGTACCACACCCCAATCGAATCCTCCGCAACCCGAGAAGCCGACGACTTGAGCCCACAAACGATGCCTGAAACAAAGGCGAAACCCGGCCCTGGGGGCAAATTGCATTCACAAGTGCAAAAGACACATGGGGCAAAGCAGCGGGCCAGAGTCTGAGAGGCCAAGAGCCGACACCACCGACCGCAACAGCCTCGTTGCTACCGGCGACAGCCAAACCCAATCAACAGGGTCAACTTACCAACACTAGATAAGCAAGACAAAAGGGGGGAAAGGGAACCTACCTCTACTACAACCTCCGCCAGCGCAGAAGTCGAAATACGCCGCCCAGTCCCACCATCGTGAATCGGAAAACCTTGCAGCCTCAAAGGTCCATCGGAGCGCCGAAGTCCGACAAAGCACGACCACAACATCCCAACCAAAACAAGGGGCTGGGGGCCCTGACATGCGGCGACCGCGGCGCAACTGTGCAGAAGTGTGAAAAACGACGATGAGAGATTAGGGTTGGGCGAAAAAGAAAGAAATGTTGGGATCAAGTAATGCACATTTTAGTTAAATACACTCTATTTCCCAATTTGTGATAGTTATACAGTGTAATTGTAGGCTAGGCATGAGACTCGGAGAATTCTGAACCGTTCCAAAAATTGAACCAAAATTACTCTGAATCGAAAATAACCGTTACCGTTTGACTTTTTCCGAACCGAACTGAACCGAAAAAATAATTGGTACGATTTTGGGGATTTCACAAATATCTGTACTGAGAACCCAACTGAACCGTTTCATACCATACCGAACCAAAGAACCAAATTATAAAAAGAATAGAGTTTTGGAAGAATTTGATAAGAATTATACAACTATTTGCACGGTAAGTATATCACATTTTGATACCAAAAAAAGTGAGAGTCTTATGACATTCATATTTTTTAAATGAATTGAAATTAGTTTCGTTGTTTATAAATTGGAAAGAGAAATTTCACCAATCTCAAATTTTGTTATAAAAACTGGGATTCCTATGACATTCATATTTTTGAAATGAATTGAAATTAGTTTTATTTCATAAAAAAATTAAATGAGGAAATTCGACCAATAAAAAACTTTTGTTACAAAAAAAAAAAAGAAAAATAAAAATAATATGTGGTATCAAATTGTTACCTCGAACCGGTTAGACCTTTTGAGATCTCGTCTTCCACGTCGGTTAGTTGCCCTGAATGCTTGCAAAAAAGCCAGTGCCGGAGGGAAGGTATCTCCGGCTTGGCCCTCCAATGCTTAAGTTAGTTTTTTCCTCTTAGTTTAGTATGATTGATGAAAAATTGTATGTCACGTACCTCTCTCTCCCTTGTCGTTACCTCTTTATATCTGTTTACATGGGTAGTGGTTTGACCCACGTCGTAACCGTTCTTATCACGTTTTCCCCACCATTAGGGATCGTTGAATTTCTCTTTACATTTTTATATAGTGCCTTACTACTCCATCGACTAATCCATCTGCTCCTGATCGACTATTCATCTGCTCGATCATTAAGCCATGTGCCTCACTAGACTAAAATGTCGGTCTTGAATCGAGGATGTAATATCCCGCATCATCTGGTCCCCCCCTACTCTGATCGAGTGGGCACAACTCGATCAAGAGTAGGTGGCATCCACTTCAAATGCTTGTGAATCACTTCATGCTTCTTTCACATTGGTTCCCGCTCCTTTTAAGTGTCGTTTTCCTACTAGGGATTTGAAATATTAAATTTTCACCGTCCATCTGCTAAATTCTCTCTCCTAATGATGAATTTTCACATGGCACGGTTCTCTTTCCCAGATTTCTTGTTCACAGTGTCCACGCGCCTGTTCCTACCTAGGATTTACTTTAATCCAACGGTGCGAATCGATGCTAACCCTTCATCTTATCTCCTCCCCTATAAAATTTGTTCTTCTTATCTTATGCGACTTTTTCCCCTATGTTAATTTCTTATCGTCTCCTCATGTGTCCTGCTCTGTTTGCGTTGTCTGCGCGAGACCTCCCGTCGATCTCCAGGCTGCCTCTCTCAATTCTATCACCCGCAACAATGAGTAAGTTTTTACTTTCTTCCTGCTTTAATTTTAAGCGCTTTTTTCCTTTCTATTTTTCTTCGAACCCTGGACATTTTGCATATCCCTATTTCGCCGGCGCCCCTGGTTCTATGTAAACCAGCATATGTTTAATCATTTGCTTTCTCCAATTTTCTTCAGATCCTTCTAATTTTGGGAAAGTACCGGCGCCGGCGGGGACACCACTCTTCCGCCTCGTTTAAATGTCAATCCTCTGCGTGTTCTTCGACCGGAAGGCATCGAGCCTGAGTCCTTCGTTATTCCTCTACCACAAACCGGGAATTCTCGGGGTCGCCGTAGACCCGTGATAAGGGAGATGGATGAGGTCGAAGAAAGCGAAGAAGATGAAAATAATAGACCCCTCAGTACCTTAACTCCTCTTCCTCGAACCCAGCCGGGGGCCTCTTCGACCACACTTGCCAGTACTTTAACTCTTAAATCCAAGGATTCGCGTCTTCGCACTCACACCCTTAAATGGGTAGATCATGATAGATATGGCCATCCCGGGACTTATCTACGACCAGACCCTAGTGATAACGCTTTTCAGCCTCCCAAGGGATATTATACCTTTTTCAAAATCCACCTCGATATGGGAGTTAGGTTTCCCCTTTGCCCAGATCTATTGTCTCTTTGTTCCTGGTTCAATTTGCCTTTAAACCAGTTACCCTCAAACGCTGTTCGTACTCTCATCTCGTATATCATCATGTCTCGTATTCGTCTGGGTAAGCTCGACTTGGATTTCTTCTCTTACTGCTATACTCTTTCCAAAGGCCCAGCTGGCATATATTTGAAGGGCAGAAATGGTGTGGCTTTTATTTCTGATCGACCGTCTAATCTTCCCGGGTGGAAAGATACTTTTACATTTGTGAAACCTGCTTTCGCATGGCCTTAGAATCCCTTGCCATGGATTACCGAGGTTTCTCGAGAAATCGTAACTCTTCCCCCTGACCCTTTGTTCGATCAACGTATACATTGATGGAATTCGAAACCGGTGAAATCGAACATTATTCTAAAAAAATGTTCATCTTCTCCACTATTGTGGTATTCTTTCCCACAAGACTCTACCTCATCCTACTATCGATGTCATAGAATCGATCAGAATTCCCAATGATCCTGGTATAACTTGTGCTTTAGCTGCTCACATTTTTTGTATTTGACACTGTATTATCTAACGTTTATGTCCCTTACTATGTCTGTTCTAGCAAAAATGCATTTGTTCCTGTGGTCAAGAGGAAGGCTTCTCGCAAGAAGACAACGAAGACTGTCGATTTAGCAACGGACTCCTCAACTCCTCCGACTAATGTGAACGACACGGTGGTTCACAGGCCTTCTCCTCAGCCCCCGGTAACATAACCCAGCGAGGTTGTGTCGGCTTCTGGGGAAGCCGCCCCTACTGTCGAGGCACGACCTACCTCTCCCCTACCTTCGAGACTCATCTGATAGATTCTCCTGATCAACACACAGACCAGAATTCCGGTGATCAACTGATGGATCATAATATCGACCTCCCTTCTTCTCCACGACCTACTTCCCTTAATATCCCTTCCTGCTCGTCCAAACCACTGGTCGAGCAGGAAGCAACATTTGAGGCTTTGAAGAAGAAGCGTCCGCTTGTCCTCGAGGAAGACTGCGCCTCCAAGCGTCAACGCCTTGACCAGTCTCTTCCTTCGTCTTCTGCGGTCAAGACTTCTGTATCCTTCTTTCTCCAAGGAATGTTGTCTACCACCAATTTTGAAGTCGACGCCGCTACTCTCGCAGCCTATAGCCCCATACTGGTCGATTGGCTTGCTCAGGTTTAAGACTCATCGATTTTTTGCTTTGTTTGCTGTAGTTGTTTTGTGTTTGTTGTTTATTCATTTTTTCTTACATGATTCAATATAGGGCTTCATGCATCTAGCGCCCTTGATTTCTCATGCCGCTTCCAAGCCCTTGAGAAATAGCTCGAGCTGGTGCAAGGATCCCTTGAACGCGCCAACTCTCAGTGCGCGGATTGCCTCGCTGAGCTCGTTCCTTTGCGTAAGGATTTCAAGTCGCTCGAGGCAAAGAGCAA